ATATATATATGTCTCGAGAACAACGTAATGATAAATAATTAATAGTGATAACGCAAACGAAGACCGAGTGTACACGTATGATAATCCTCAATTCATTCGATTTGCAAGAAATCGCGAGGCGCATGCAGGCGCAGCAGAGGTCAATTTCTGTGGACCTTGACCGGTAAGCCTCCGTGTTTGATCCTCACGTGTTTGTAAATGTTGGACGAGCACTTGTCACGTTTGCCACAGTACGGGCATCTGAATCTGGGCTCCCTACCGCAGTCGTGGGTCAGGTGTGTCATCAGTGTCTTCTTGTACGTGTAGCCGGCGTTGCAATTCGGGCACGTGTAAGGGGCGGACCTACCCCTGGGCCACACCGGGCTTTTATCTTGCGCCTCCTCGGAGCGTGTGATGCTCGCGAAGCCCCGGCTTTGCGCTAAAAAGTGCCCTGCGAACAATCAAATCAACGGTGGGGTTAGTTTGGAGGGTTTTTTTTTAATTTCAATTACGTTTTCTTAGCAGTAGTGCAAGCGAGTTAAGGGAGTCGGGTTATTGGGTTATTTTTTTACGAAACAACGGTGCTTTGGTGGTTTTTTTTTTTTTTTTTTTTTTTTTTTTTTTTGCTACTCCCCGGTTATTATTTTGAGTCTATAGTTTATGTACATGTGGAAATTCGTATATGCTGGCTATTTTTCACGACCAATTGAACCAATCACTGTTTTGAAAAACTGTTTGATCTTTAATCGATACGAATGAACGAGTTCAAAAATTGTAATGTAATTGTAAGATAAAAAATGCGTGAAAAAAAATGTCGTTTTGGGAACTTTGTAAAATGTGATTTAAAATTATTGCAGCCCAACGAAACAACTGAGCTGCGCAATGTAGGTTGGCACATTGACTTTTCCAGCCCACAAACATTCGAAGCTAGAAAAACTTCTTGTCTATGCGAGTGCCCTCCTTGCCGTGCATTCGGCGCACGTGCTTGTACATGTTGGAAGAGTAATTGCTCCTGTAATCGCAATAGTTGCAGCTGTACGTTGGCTTGATGCTCTCCAAGTGGTCGTTGGCCGCGAGCCCGTACTTGTGCGCGCTCATGTGGCGGCAGTACGTCTGAACATCACTGGTGACCACCTGGCACTCGGTGCACTCGTACTTGGCGACGACTGGAAAATAAAGAAAATAAAAGCGAAACCTTTTTCATTATTTTCCTTTTTACTTGAGAAAATTTTCGAGGTATAGTTAAGTGTGTGAGTGTGGTGCTTTTCGGGTTTATGTGAATGCATGAGGGTTTTTTTTTTAGTCAGTTGGAGAAATAATAACTATGGTTCGGGCTGCAATAAATAGGTTTATTCTCGATAATTGTTGTGCTTTCATAAAATTATTTAAATAGTAATACATCTTTAAAGGTAGTAAAAAAAAATAAATTTTTTTTTTTTTTCCAACATCCAACATATTTTGCAGGCTCGTTTTTGTTATAGTCCTCCTCCATTCGCATCATCACGATCGAGTTGAATTAAACGCACGTGGTACGGGTGACGCGGGCAAAACAGTTTCATTGACAAGATGATATACTAAATTACGCGCGTGGTGCACCAACTGTCGGCGAGTGTACTTACGTGATATTTTCGATTTGACGTCATACGCNTGTGCCCAACATAGTATTAAATTAATATTAAAAGATCAATTGATTTTATTTTGTTGGTTTTATCCAGCGAGGTCAACGGTCCGTGCCTTTTTAATGTAACCGTACGGCCTAGGCGCTATACATATTATGCTGTCATTAAATGTTTTCTATCTGGACAGCTCTATACAGATTACTTTTTTATGTTTTACCTGCTAAATACTATTATAGATTGTGGGTCGTGATACCGAAGGTGATAAATGTTTTGTAATTAACAAATTTTATAAACAAATTGCAAAAATGGGGAGTTTTTCAAAAAAAATTTTTTTGCTCCTTTTTTTAATTTTTTCTTTTACGCTGGGGATAAAGATCATATCGTTTACTTATTAAATTCGTTTACTGTTTTTATTCCAACCAAATTAAACCAATTACTCAGTTATAGATATACCACCATGAGTTGAAGAATACAAATTTTTTTTGTAAGAAATCATAATAATAGCCTTACGTTGCAGCTGCGTGAGAAACGGAGAAAGTGCATTTTTTAAGATTCACGATTTTTTCGCGGAAAGAATATGGGGTTAACAGATATACATTGTACAAATTTTTTTGTTTAAATTAAGTTCGAGAAGCAAAAAAAATTTTTTTGAAAATTTTTTTTTTTTCAAAGTAAACTTAAAACATTAAAAAAAAAAAAAAAAAAAAACAAATAAAAAAAAAAAAAAAAAAAAAATACTGCCCAAGATAAAATAAAAAATAAAACGAAAAGTGATTATCTCGGAAGCACAGTCGTCTCAGTAGAGCTTGAAAAACTTGACAGGCTGTCCGGGATGATGTTTCCGTATGTGGGTGTACATGTTGGACGAGTAATTGCTCGGGTAAACGCAATAGTTGCATCTGTACTTGGCCTTCACTTGGCCAGGCGAGTGATCGTTGATCGGCTGTTTGAACTTGGGAATGCAAGGCTGGCGCCAGGTATACCCGTAGCTATCGCTGAAGACTGTCTCGCAGTTGGTACACTCGCAGTTAGTGTTGAGTTCCGTGTGAGGAGTGTAAAAGGCTGAAAAATGAAAGCATTGAATGTTGCATTATTCTAAAAGCTCAAAGCTAATGTTTTATATGTGGTTAGATGGATTGGTGCTGCTTTTGTTGTTTTCGTTCTGTGCGTGTTATGCTCCTGGAGCTCGAGGAGCTAATTATCCTGTTACGGGGGTTCGAATTGTTTTTTGTGAAAGCGATAAGCTACAGTGAGGATTTTTTTGGTTGTGAGAAATGACTGTCGTGCAGGCTGCAACAAATATTAGGTTTACATTTTTTTTTTTTTATTTTTCTTTTAATGTAAAATATATTTTAATATTGTTAAAAAAATACATTGTGTTCAACTTTGTGACAATAATTGTCTCATGAGGCAACTTAACACTATAATTATTGGTCTACAGAAAATTGTGGGATTCAGTATGTTTTTCTTTTTTTTATAACTTTGATAATATGTATATATTTTTTCTCCTTTAATATACATTTTTATTGTAATTTTATCGATGTACAATAATATTCATCTACATACGATGCGCTTACTACAACTAACACAAAAAAAAAATTTAGTTAATATGTGTGAAAAATAAAAAAACGCATTGTTTCATTGAAACAGTTCATCACGGAATAATATTAGCTCAGTGATTATAATGCCTGTAAGGAAAAAATTATTACAAGGCCTCGAAAATTTTCTTTAAGAAAACTTTTGTCTAAAACTAAAAAATGTCGTCCTAGTGAACATGAATGAAATAGCTGAAAATCGAGTAGAGAAAAAAAAAAAAAAAAAACTTAATTGTTAGAAAAATCTCAGTAGAGCTTGTTAAGCCGTACAGCTTGTCCAGGATGCAATTTCCTCACGTGATTGTAAACCGCGTGGGTCCACTTGCTCAAGTACCCGCAAAATGGACACTGGTAGCGCGGCAATGCGTCATTACACTCGTACTTGTAGTGCCGGTACATCGAGTAACTCTGCGAGAACATGTGGGTTTTGCACTTGGGACAATGAAATTTTCCCGTTTGCGGATTGAAGCACGAGTCCATGAGCTTCCGAGCGGCTAAACGCTCCTGGTGGATGCGCCAAGTTGATGATGGTGATGATGATGGTAATGTCGACGATGAAGGTATTGATGGCGATGATGAAGGTGAGGGTGTCGATGATGAAGACACGGTGCCTAAAGCAGAAAAAAACCAAATTCAAGCGGAGCTGGTGGGCTTTTAAACAATTTTTTTTTTTTTTTTCTGTTTTAATGAGTATTGAATCGGTTGGTGAAGGCTAGTACAAAAATTTGTTCTTACCTACGGTGACGGAGGGGATCTCTTTTTGGTTGGTTTGTAATAGTTTTAGTCATAAAAAAAAAGCTGAGAGTAAGTGGCATTTATTAGAATCATCAATCTTACATGAACAAAGTACTCAACGATGATGTGAAAATAAAAGAAAAAACCATCATCGTGATCACTTATCGTCCAATATAGTGATACAAAAATAGCTAACTGATCTACCGATCGTGTAGTAAGTAAATTAAAAAATTTATGTTGATAGTCGCGACGCGACACTTAAATAAACGTATAAATATTTCTAAACAATGACACAAGGTGTGGTTAGAAAAATAAAAATTTTTTCCCACGCGTTGGTGTAAAACTTGGCGCTTTCGATGATTACAGGCTCGTAACGTTATCAACTTGTTTGAAACATAATCTTTTCTCACTGTGGCCGCAAAGCATTTGCACCATTTCATTGCTTTACGCCCTCGGCAAGAAAAACGTCGTCATCGACTCCGGGCACTTAAGTACAACAACCTTGCCCTTCGGACGCTGAAACCGTACTTTGTGCCCATGGTCCAAAATGTACGTTTTTTTTTCATTTTTTATTTATTTCTTAATCTTACACATCATGGCTAACCTTAAATTACCATTACAAAAACGAGCATGAAAAAAAAAAATTACTATTAACAAAAAATGAAAAAATACTGTACGAAAAAAAAGGTAAGAAATAAGAAAGGTGACATTTTTGGGCCACTTGGTTAAATCAATGGAACGGAATTGGCCTTGCGTCCGCGACGTATACATACATGAGAATAAAAAGAAAAAATGTTAATAATAAATAAATGAGTGATGTGATCGAACTCAATCACGCGACGAGTTCCCGCAACGAGTACGGACAGCCTTTTCTGTTGCTCTTGTACTTCTTCTGCTTCTTGATGGTGCCCTTTTTGGGTCGGCCCCGCCTGCGCTTGCCCTCGATCTTGTTCACGCCGTGGATGATGCACATGACGTTCTTCATCTGCGCCTTGCGGCCGCGCTTCTTGCCCTTGCGCTGTACCACCTCCTGCTGCTCGCTGTACTCGTTGGCGGCCTCGATGGCGTTTCTCTCGGCCTCGTCGAGACACGCTTGGGCTTCCTCGGCCTCCGCGAGGTGGAAACTTCGAAAGTCGCGCTGTTGCACCTTCTCGTGGGTGTCGGCCCTCCGCGGGTGGCTAAAGGTCGGGGATGGCCCGTCACCTGTCAACAAAAGCAGAGATGGTTCGGATGTCAGTACACGTGATTCGTGGTGCTCGAGGCTCTTTGGCTGGAAACTTAGACTATATAGACAAGCGGATTGTTAGTAGACGAGTTGCGGATATGTAATATTATGATGTCGATGATGCGCATGGCAAACTGTTTGGATGCAGACAGATTTTTTTTTTTTGTTTGTTTTTTTTTTTGTTTTTACAAAACGCAGGTTGCTAATTGAGTTTCTCGTACGTTGTGATCATACGGTAAAGAGTCGGACGAGAAATGATGGAGAAATAGTGATTTGAATGAATGGGTTAAGAAAGGTGACTAAAAAACAAAAAACACATTGATTATAATCATTCGGATATTTCGTGTGCACAATTACTTTTTAATTACAATTTTATTTGGACATGAAATGAAAAAAAAAAAATCTTCGTTTACATTAATTTTACATTATCCTGAACGCCCTTCAGGAGATAATCATACAACTGATTGATGTAAAAGAAGTAATCATAAAAGTGACAATTTTTCAATCAACGCCACAAACATCATACGAACAAATTGATCGTCAAATGAATATAAACATTAATTTTGCCGCACCACAAGTCGAGACTAGCATCTGAAATTCGAGGAAAAGACCGAACTTTAGTAGAGTTTGACGACGGTGACCGGGCAGTTCTGGTGGACGGACCTGATGTGCTGGTAGATGTTGGACGTCTTTTTGCTGACCTGGGGGCAATAGGGGCATTTGAATCTCGGGAGTTTTTCACACTCGTGGCGTAGATGGCTCATCATCGTGTCGTGCCTGCCGTAGGCGTTATTGCACTTGGGGCAGTGGTATTTGCCGGTCGCGCTGTTGAAGTTGTACCGGTCGCGTCTCGATGATTTTTTCGATTTCTGCCACATGGAGCGCAATAACTTGGCTGAAACAGACAAAAGAAACGTACGTTCGGTCGGTCTGGTGTTTCTGATTGTGGCTTATTGTCAATTTTTTATGATTATTATTATTATTATTTTTTTTTTTTCCAGTAACGAAAATTTGACACACGAATGCCGTAATGGGTAACGAAATATTTTCTGATTAAGGACGTGGCGCATGCTTGCACTCAAAAGATTTTGATTCGACTAGGACAGCTGAAAGATTCGATAATTTCAAGTTTCAATACTACTTACTATTTCGATGCAACATATTTCTTCGGTAATCTTGGTTATTCGGTGTTTTTATGGATACAATAAAACAACAACAACTATTGTGAGACACATTTATTGTTATTATTTTTATTATTATTATTATTATTATAATTTTCAATATCATAATTATTATAATAAATAATGATTTATACATTATTATCAACATNATTGTTAACAATCACTGTCATCTGGTAATATTTAAAAATAAAATTATATATATGTATATAAGTAACTTTTTTCATTAATAAAATTAGTAGTTTTTAGTAAAATCAACAAACTAATTAATACCGACGCAGTCAGTCATTATAAATATATCATATAAATATGCATATTCATCCATTTCGTATCAACAAACTTAAAAATTAGCTTAACTAGCGAAATTTAAAAGTGTGTAACTTCAACCCAATTATAAGTGTGTAATTTTCTGTAATACTTTTTACTCGCTGCTGGGTGGGTAATTTTATACTTTTCCAGTGTTGATTTATAATTTACACACTCAAAAAGGGTTGATTTGATGAACACTTTGATGTGCAGTTAAGTGGGATGGTACCGACCGAGTGTAGTCGTTTAGAGCTGCCACAACAATATGAATTTTCTACACGTGTTTTATACTTATTCGTTAAGTAAGTGAACTACATATGATACATGTGCTTGTGTGTCGAGCCTTAAACGTGCACATATTGTTCTTGAGCTCCACGTCTTTGTAACCCAATGAGACCCAGAGATTGAATTACTCAACGGGGTATCATCAGCTTATACAACGAAAACCTCTTTCTATGGAAAAAAAAAAAAAATCACCAAGACCAGCTAAATTCCAGAAGGAAAAATTCCAAATTGACCTAAATCAGGATTCGAGATTGAGGGCCACTTGTACCGCGACATACCTTGGCACCACTCTCGCGTACACGATACAGTTGTCGTCAAAATTTTGCGATACATCGAATGGCATTTGGGTTGTTTTATTTATTTATTTTTTTTTTTTTTATCGCATGACCCCACCCGACGAAACCCCCAGCCGCACACCTCATGGATCGCAACCAGTGCTTGTGGTCTCATCCATAAACATTTGATGAAAACATGCTCCAACAAAGCAAACTCTTTAACGCGCGAAAAATCCATCGTAATGATACCAATGATAATATTTCCTAGCCTAAGGGTTCAGTCTACGTATGTTATTGCGTTCAATTGGAGTCCCCGTTGGAAAGACTTTTCTGGCTCTCGTTGAAGGGCCGTCTCTTGACGAGGACTCCGCGGACTATGTCGAGGCAGTGCTCCTCCTGGCCGGAATGCAGGCGCTTGACGTGCTGGTAAACACTCGTTGTCTGCTTGGTCCGATAATTGCAGTAAACGCACGCGAAACGGGGGGACTGGTTGCACTCGTAGCGGGTGTGACGATAAAGGCTCGTTTGCACCTTGAACGAGCGCTTGCACTTGGAGCAGAGGTACTTCTTGCTCGGGCTGCTCGGCGAGGGGTGCTGCGCTCGGGGAGCCTCGCTCGGGTGGTGGACCGGTTTGTGGCCGTATGGCTGGTAAAGCGGGTCCGAGGGCTCGTTGACGTCGACCAAGATCTCCTCGGCGTACATCGCTGGAACACGAGAAAACACGAGTTTCGGGGTTAATGAGGCGGGACTCGAGGGGAAGGAGAGAATAAACAAAAAAAAAAAAAAAAAAAAAAAAAAACAAAAAAAACAACGTCAAGCGACAACCAGAGCTTTTGACAAAACAAAGTCCAACAGCGGTAACGCATTCCGGATTATTATTGTGCATTAGTAGCCAGATAAATCATACGTCGAGGTGAGACATTTATTGGGACGATTTTGGGTTATTGGGGAGGTGTCGAAAGTAGTCGTAGGCGAGATATGTCAGTAATTGTATACATCAACAGTTTATGCTCGTGGTTAAAACATTACATGGTCATTACGATGGAACATACGTGAAATCGAGTAAGAAAAAAAAGAGACAAAAAAAAAGTTAACAAGATTTTGGAATTGTTGAAACGCTGGAAGCGTCTACCAAAATAATGATGTCTACCGATTGAATTCCAAAAAGAGTTATAATCATTTAGTTATTCATCGCGAATGGATCTTTCTCTTCTTGGTTTTTTCGGGCATCTGTGCATTCTTGTGCTTGGCCATTATGTGACATTTCAAATTGGTATAGCGATGGTTGCAATAGTTGCAATAGGGACAACGGTGTCGGCCTTGCACCCCGCATCTGAAAGTTAAACCGTAAAGAAAAATCAATCCAACAATCACGAGGACGTTTCATACGATGCTTGTGAAAAAAAAAAGTATCGATTACTCATAATTGGCGTGTCTCCTCATGTCGTACTCGCGCTTGTAAACGCGCGGACACTTCCAGCATCTGTAGCCAATGGCGTTGTTTATGACGACGACGTTGGAAGCATTGTCATTCGGATACGAGTAGACGCTGCCAACATCGACGTATTGAAAGTTAAGGCCTGAAAAACAAAGATCAAATGCAGGATGATCAGTTTGGTGGAATCTTTATTTATTATTTATTTATTTTTTTTTTTTTTTTGTTTCCACAACAGGGAAGGACAATGAGGGTGCTCCGGTACTAAGTACACTTATTGGAGGTCGAATCACGACGACCGTGCTAGTTGAGTTGCCAAAACCCAATGTACGACGCATCAACGTATCCTAGCGGTGGAGTCGTGATTCGATATCCATTTGGTGAATGCATGAAACAAATTATCGCCCAGTCGACACTTTCCCAGCTATTGTCGATTTAAAATCAATGCAATAACCTGGAAAACTCTTTTATCGTGATCTGTGGTGGAAAAAAGACATTGACGTTCAATGCGCACTGGTCGACACTTTTTTTTTTTTATTTTTTGCCGCAAATTTTGGTTTTTCTTGACGAGCTGAATCTTGGGGTGTGTAGGTGTTAGGGACAATTGTACTGAGAGTTAAAATAAAAAAAAAGGAAAGAAAAGGTTTTACCGGAAGAAGGACAGGTATTCGCGAAAATGTGCAGTCGGAGAGTTCACAGGGGGGGGGAGTGAAAATCACGAGCCAAAACAAGCGCTCACTCAATCACGTGTTTTTACGACATTTATACGTTTTATTGACGGATACATGTTAAATTCTGAACTCAATGTTTCGCCTAACTCTGCTGCCGTGCTTCTTCCTTATGTGATCGTAAATCACGTAGTCGTATTTGCTGCAGTTTTCGCAGTACGGGCAGCCGTATATTCTTCCGCGCAAGCATCTGATCTTCCATTGTCTGTAGTAGCCCGTCCCGTCCACGTAAACAATATCGGGATGCTCGGCGGGCTTTGCCACGTTCGAATTGGGAGTTGGCGCGGGGGCTCGGCGAAGCAACGTGCTGCTTCTGGTCATCCTCGGCGTCGGGTCTTCCGTCTTTTCCGCAACCTTTTTCGGCCCCTCGCTGACAAACTCCTCGCTGGCGTCGATCGCTTCTTCCTTGATGCTCCTGACGTCGATGAAGTGCGTTTCTAGAAATTTTATATCGTCATGTCAATGAAAAACTGTCAATTGTATCATTTTTTTTTTTTTTTTTTTTTTTTTTGTAAGTATAAAAATATAAAATCTTGTTTGAAGGGATTATTAAATTGGAAATTTTCTTTCAGTATACATTACACTTCAAGGGCCCCTTCACTTGACATCTTGAAATCCAAGTACTTGCTCGGGGCCCACGGAAGCNACGTAACGGAACGAGATAATGTCGTGACAAAAAAAGCTATGGTAGATGCGTGGCAGGCTGTTTTATTTTGTACGTTTATGAGACGAATTTTTCGTTTTAATTACTTTTTCGGGAAAATTTTCATTTCGTTTTGTTAAAAACACATTTTATTGAAACGTGTTTTGGGTTTTTTTCGTTTTTTCGATATTTGAGCGATTACTAGCGGGATAAAATTGGCTTGCATCGTTTGGCTCAGACAAACAGCTGATTCAGTCACCTCTTGACACTGCACCCGTAGTCCAGGCAAAGAGCTTTGTTTATGAAAAAGTTGTCATGTGTTGTTACAACTTGTTTGAAAAAAAAGAAAAAAAAAAAAAAAACACGTTAATACATTTTTCTTTTTTTTTTACAATTTATTAAATACAGCGAAATTAATTGCATGGGCATCTACAGTTGTGATTTTATCTCCAAGTCTTCTTAGAATGAACAACAACATATTACCTTGATTACAATAATTTTTATTGGTAGAAATAATCCACGCAAACTTATATTTGTCGTAATTTTTTCTAAAAAATAAAAAAAAAATTCTAATAATCAAAATTTGCATAAAATATGCAAATATGCAGAAAAAATTTATCAATCGTATCCAAAAAAAAAATATGAGAGTGTTTGTTTAATTACTCTCAAAATAGTTGTCAAATGAAATAAAATCGATTCTACAAAATAGTTGTAACTCCCATGAGATTCACAAGTTATATTAATAAAAAAATTTAATTTTATTTGATCCATCAAGTCAAAAATAATGAACGCGTAATGTTTAGCTTAACCACGTAAACAAAAAAATAAAACAAAATACAATATAAGGTCTGACAGAATTTTTACGTGACAAAATAAAAGATAATCATCCAACATTTTTCGATGGTCTTGGGCGCAATAATCATAAAAAAATACGAAAAGATGAAACAAAATGACGAAACATGACGCGTCAGTTGGTACAAAAAATATGAAAAACAGGTAAACAGCATCGAAAATTAAATTGAAGCATCGACCAAAGGCCGCATTGACTACACGAGTGGTGCTGGTGATGGGGGTGGCAGCAGCTGCTCCTGACCCTGTATTGGCAATAGGTGTGGTTGGTGGGGTTGTTGCTCGGGAAGGGGGCTCTGGAAGGGTTTGTTGGTAACCGCGTCTATGCAAAAGATACGACAGGATTGATGCCTTCCTCTGATGTGCCTGTAAACGCTCGAAGTCCAGATGCTCTTGTATTTGCAGTACGGGCACACAAAACGCTTTCCCCAGCCGCAGGCGTATTTCGTGTGCTTCCAAAGGTCGCGCTTGTTGACGAACTCTTTCGAGCACATTGTGCAGAGGAAGCGCTGGTGGCTCTTCTTCAGGTAAACTTCCATTTTTTCGGACCCTTCGACCTTACGCGGAGCGATTACGTAAGCCATCAGTAGGTCCCACTTTTGAAGGTAGGTGAGGGACGTTTGCAGCTCGCTGTTCTCGAAGCCGCGGAAACCACTTTTGATGCTGCCGTTCGACAAGGAAACTGGAAAAATTCAATGCAAAACAGATGTCTTACGTGAGTTTCTAACTTTTTCTATTGATTATTAAGGTAAGGGTTTATTTTTACAATCACTGCAACGAACGAAAACTGTATGAATATGGGAGATTCAACATTTCGAAAAAGTGAGAATAAAAGAAATTAATGGATGATCGAAACGTGGACTTGTTTGGAAAAAAAAAAAAAAAAAAAAAAAAAAAAAAAAAAAAAAAAAAAAAAAAAAAAAAAAAAAACTGGAATACGAAAATGTAACACGTTTAGGGTCTTTACAGAATAGAATAATAAATTATACAACACTTTTTGTTAGATAAACGATCAGATCTTTATTACATTATCGTAGAAACAACTTCATGCATTTGACTTTTAGTAAATAATTAAATCTCTTATTACACGACGGAAATATCAAACATTTTTGTAGGTAGATTAAATTCATAATTTGGTTAGTATAGAGTTAACACAAAATAATCAAATAATTTGTTGACACAGGGCTATATATGATTTATTATATCAATCCAAATAAATTAATAAGTTACAGTTATATTGCTACAGTACAAAACTATAAATAATTTATTTTACTTATTTATTTTTTTTTGTCACCGTTACACGTTACAAACATAAATTATTAAATACATCAACAAGGAATTACATGTAATTATTGTTATAATTTTTTTTGTTCAAATTGACTTAAAGCATGACAACGTATCAAAGTCCAATAGTAATTGTTAACGATCTTTTTTTGTATAAAATATTTATATACATATCTGACCTCCATTTTGCAAATACTCATTAAAGCTAAATCAATATTTTGGATTTCCAAGCTGATGAAAAATAAAATTGCAAATAAATAATCATAAATAATTCCAGTTACTAGCTATATTATCTCAGTCAGTTGAGCATGGGTCTCCCAACTAATCTTGGTTTAGACCATCACATGATCATGCTTTCGATAAGGGTATTGATGCCTGCTAAGTGAACTAGAACAAAATGCCCCAAGAGATTATGCAACATCAGCACGAACAATACGAAGGAATCGAATTAAAAAGCTCCCATCTGCCTACAATTCCTCAACACAACCATCAAAGCTGATTGTGCCCAACAATGTTTATCTAAAACCTCTAGCACCTTCATCATCGCCAGCCAAGTAATTTATCACGCCAACAATGATAAAAAATAGTAACAGCATCACCAAGTATTTTTACAATCTCTTACTCCTCAACTTCTGTACGAAAATCACTTCCTTGAAGTACTGAGCATCCGGCTTCTTGTTCAACTGGACGCTCGGGGAGACCGGCTCTCTCGGCCTGCTGGCGACGCCCTTGCGTGGCCTGCCGCGTTTCCTGTGGACCATACCGTTGACCGGAACAATCGTCGGAAGGGTCAAGTCGCGTGGCTTGCGCGGCCTGCCGGGCTTCCTCTTGACATAAACCTCGAACTCCTCGAACTTACGTGGCTTCAGGAAGTGATAGTCCATCGTGCCGTTGCACGGCCCCGGGAACATTACGGGGTCGTTTTGGTTTTCGCCGGCCTCCTGTTTCGACAATATCGTGGCCACCGCGTTGGTCGGTCTGACCGGGGGCTCCTCGGTCTTTAAGTCCAAAGCCACCTCTCCAAAGCTCCTCCTCATTTTCTTCGCTATGGCCAAGGGGTTTTCCAGGACTGCGCCCTGGGCGTGGTTCAGCTGCTCCATTTCGCGGAGGGATATGCTCTTGACGTCGAACACCCGGATAAAAGGGTTGGTGGGGCGGTGGGGCTCCGTGTCGCTCGGGTAGTTTGGCTCCTCCTTTATGGTGAAGGTCGCCAGCGATTCTGCAACAGACAAGGATGCGAGTCAGCGTTGTTGTTCTCTCGTGGTCGATCTTTAGCTTCCGACGATCTATATGTTTCGGCGCGATGAGACGAAAGAGAGAGAGAGAGAGAGAGAGAGAGAGAGAGAGAGAGAGAGAGAGAATACATGTGAAAGTTGATGAGGTTTTGGTATACTAGATACAAGGGTTCGAGCGGTTATTTTTTAATGGAGTCGACTGATGCGTGGTCCACTCGTATGGAGGACAAGTGTGGTTTACTTATGATGGATAATTTGATGACAATCTGAGATTACATGGACGAGTCGAAGGGAACATTCGACACAAGTGATAAAAAATAGTTAGCAATGTTAACTAGTGATTGTCCGGGCTGGTGACGTAATGGGCCGTTAACGTTTGCGTGTTTGCAAACACCATATTTTTCTTCCACCATAACCTTGACAGAGTGTAACCGGTGAAGTTGCTGGTTGCTTAGAGTCCGTGTGCAAAGGTAATATAAAAATAGCACAGTGTGTGGACAATCACGGTCGGGGGATGCCGGCAATTGTGACTGGCTTGGGCGTTTTTCTTGAGCTTCCGGCTTTGGTTCTCCATTTGGAAGTCGAAACTCACGAAGAGGAACAGGCCGGCTCGTAGTTTTCGTCACTATTATGATGACGTCCTCGATATCTCTTCCATGTGGTCCCGGCCGTTTACGTATTTCAATCAGTTTTACCAGTTTGACAACATAAGTCAACGAGTGGTGTGGTTAGTTGGAGAAGTAAGGGTTTTTTTTTTTTTATTTTTAAATTCTCTTCGAGACAATCGTGCAAATGTGCATTTTTTTCGGTTGGTTGGATGGTCAAGCCAATCATCATTGAACGAACATTTTTTTTTTTTTTTTTTTTTTTCAGTAAGTTGAGATTCACTGCAGTCCTGAAAATCACGGGCTTAAGTACATTTTGTGGAAAACTGAGGACATACATTGTCAGGAAACTGTGATTCTTGTTTAACCCTGAAAATAGAGGAGCAAAGGAAGTTGGTCGTTTCAAATAATAATAAAGTTTAGATTGTTAATACATTGTAGCAAATTCATCAAAATCAACACTGAAATCGTTTCATTAACTTGTTTATTAAAGTATTTTACAATCCTGGAAGAAAAGTCATCTTCATTTCTCATGTACATGTCATCAGTTGAATTATATTTTTGAAACCGGAATTTTAATCATCTTGATTATAAGCATAACTCGAAAACTGCGTACCATAAATACTTTCGTAATTAGGAAAAATATACGTAGAAAATACAACGTTTTTTATGTATCTCCTCGCTGCAAATCAAATAATTTTTCAAGCAATATTAAATTCAATCCAACAAAAAACAAAGTAAAAAAAAAAAAAAAAATATGTATTACGGCAGCGCATTTTTCCATACAAATTAAACACGATAAAGAAATAGATCCTTCAGTGAAAACTAGTTTCGGAAGCATAACAGACCAAGTATTATCGAGTAGTGTTCCAAATGACTAGGAACGTTAAACGTACACATCTGGACAGGGGAGAAAAAAAAAGAAAAAAAAAAAACTAATCTCGCTTATTCGATATTGAAATGTACTACCCTGCCTTTGTAAATGAAATACAAAAAATATAATTTTTCAACGATCGCTTCAAGGAACGGCGTGACTCAACCATCAAACGTATAAGTAAAGGAAAAAAGAGGAAAGAAAAAAAAGAAATAATAAATAAATAAAAGAAAAATCTTAAAAATCGCTGAGAGCCGCGTGCTTCAAGCTGTGCTTGTACATGTCCGAGTTTTTGGTCGTGCTGTACTCGCACCAGACGCACGCGAGTCTTTGGCCGCACGTGCGCTCATGGGTCCTTCGTCCAGCGTCCGAGGAAAAGAAACTCGGACACCTGCAACAGTAGTACGCCTCCTCTCTGCCGGTCTGCTCTCTCAAGCGGCTCCGGCACTTTCTCAGCCTGTCCAGAAACCTCGGGCAGTACTTGACCCTCGCCTTGCCAAACACGACCGAGCTCGGGTGCTCCTCGCTTATGTGAGCCAACAAATCGCCGTCCGTCTGCCTCAGCGCCACGTAACTGCAGTGCGGGCAGGCAAAGTGGTACATCTTGAAGCACTTCTTCGCGCTCTTGTCCAGAATCGATTTCCCGAGTAGCTGGTCGCAGATGCACCCCTCGATCTGGCTCCTCACAATGTTTTTCTTCTCGACCTTGAACTTCACTGTGGACTTGTCGGCGCTGCTGAAGATGTTTTTGCGGACATTGGGCTCGGTCTTGACGGGTTTGCTCGGCATGGGTTTTTTCTTGCTTAACCAGTTGAGCAGCAAACTGTTGTCCCGCTCCAGCACGACGCCGCATTGCTTCAAGGGGTAGGCGAGCGGGTTGATGCACTTCATGTCGACCACGTCGTCGAGGCTCAAGGGATCCCTTTCGAATTCCTCGATGACTCCGTACGTGCGAACTTGGCTGATTTTTATCCCGCTTTTGCCGCGACGCCAAGGGCCGAGTGACTTGCGCAGCCGGTTAGCCAAGTCCCTGTCGATCTCTGCGTCCTTTAGTGCTTCGCTCTTCATCCGACGACTTCTCAAGGTCATGCGAGAGTCTGGAACATAAAGAAGACGAGCGGTGTTTTTATGGGTGAAAAGAAGAAGGGGGTTTGCGTTCAAACGCGAGGACAATCGAATTCGTTTGTCATGTTAGTTGGGCAGTGTATGGAGAAACGAGTGGTTAGAACTGAGAATTTGATGGGTGATCCGAGAATGATGAGATGTGAGGTTGTTCAAGGTTTATTTTTTTTGTTTTTTTATTGACTGATGGGCAGGGTTATTGAAACGGATGCGGAAAAATTGTAATCAAAAACAGAGTACATTTTTACATAAATATAATGAGTGATGAGTTCATGCATTTTTCTGACCCTCGTACCTCTACTACTTATGGTTCAACATACATTTTTTGATACACCTTTAAGGTGTACGACGAACTTTTTGTTACTTGTCATGGAAACATTCCGTGGAAATTCTTAAACATGGTTTTAACTAAAATAAATTAAACAAAAAAAAAATTTAATAACGATAATTTGGTCATTGTTTGTTTGGAAATTTACATCAAATAAAATATTGTTATAAAAATCTTGGAAAGAATCAAAGTGCTTGATCAATTGATAAGTGCAGTTGATCAAACACTGGTGTATTTGTTTTCAAAAATTAAATTACATTGCAAAAATCAGTCTTTTTGAGCACGATAACCAAAAAATGGCAAAAATGTCTCTGTATGGTCTAGAAACAGTCAATATTAACTCTCAAAGTTATGATATATACATATACTATTTGCTTTTACAATATTTTACTCTACTACTGAAAATCATTCCAACCTTACAACTAACATAGCATCAGCTTTCGAACCATATAACAGTTGTAGGTTTTTCCCTAGGATAAGAGAATTAAAGTTATTATATTATGGCACAACTTGAGATAATTTGAGCTCATACTGCTAAGATCTAAATTTTTTTTTACCCATACATGAAAAATCCTACGTAGTAATGACTCCGTAAACATTAAATAAATAATAAGCACATAAAAATACAAAATATCATTTTCTTTTATGAACCTTTACGATCTTAATAAACTAGAAACTTTGCACTCTGTTGAGTATGCGCATAATGTATCTATGCATGTATATATATATTTTTTTTTTTCGTTTGAAATAAAATACATTATTCTAGTTGTATTCAACTCTTGAGTAGTAAAAAAAAAAAGAAAAAAAAAAAAAAAAAGGATTCCTCTAGCGGCGACCGTCCACTTGTTTGTTGAGATTACAGTAAACCTTGCAGCAAGGGTGCATTTTTCTTATGTGCTTGTAGAGACTGAAGGGATACTTGCTCGGCAGATTACAGTACGGGCACGCGAAACGAGGCGGCTGGTTGCAATCGTATTTAATGTGCTGGACGACGCTGCCGCGAGTCGAGAAGCTTTTCGGGCACTGGGGGCATTGAAAAAGGCCGGGCTTCACCTCGATTATTTCGGCGGTGAGGCGCTCCTCGCTCGGGCCGCTTCGCCGCTTCGTTGGGTTGAAGACGTGCGGTTCCCATATTACTGCTAAGGAGAGACAAAGAAACGAGTTTTTCTTGTACATACTTTGTACTTGCATATACGTTTGTGTGTGTGCGCGCGCGCGTGTGTGCGTGTTCTAGTGATAATCGAGAGATCAATGAGGATCTCGTCTTTGAAGGGACGCCAGCTATGGTGCTGTGGAAGAAAGATCGCAAATTACTTTTATATTTGCTAAACTAATAAGATACGATTTAAGGTGATTCTACAGAAAATAGAAATTTCTTCGATCGCTCCCGAATTTTCAATACATTGGAAAAATATTGACAACCTTATACAATTTTTCAATATTGATGTTTTAAACCAACATCAGCATTCAAGTGGTGGCATTCTTAAAAAAAAACATTAAAAAAATTAAATTACGTACATGATTATTATTCTTTATTTACAGCACTTAACAAGATGTTTTGAATAGCTATATTAGTTTTTAAAATATTTTTAAAATGATTTAATTTTGGTGCTAAAGTAACTGTAGAACCAACTTAATGACATGAGATGAAGACAACTTGAATGAGGTAAGCACGTAGCGGTCAAATTCGGTAAAGTAAATAAGCCGATTACATTACATGCTAAAAACAAATTTGAAAAGCACAGCACAGAGTGTAACAATATATTCTACTTTTTTTATGTGTTGGGTAAGCGACTATGTTGTATAAATTGTGTTGTCTGTGTTTTATGTTCATCGTAAGTATATATGATATACGTAATGTATTTATAATAAAAAAATTGATAGTATCCTACTTCTAAAAATTGATATTCATTTTTTATAATTAAAAACTTAATTTTTTTCTCAACTAAAAACATATCAACTTCTGTGTAGCGAAAGCTTCGCATCGCTCTAAAAAAATTAAGTGTTTTTGATCTATATTGGAAAATATTACACGGAGTAAGAAATAAAAATACATTCTTAAAAAAAGGTCGGTAGGCACGTATGTTAGCGTATAGTTGAGACAAATCATATCTTAAAATCCAACTGATTTTTATAGTTTTAAGCTGAAAAATTTGATTTTTTATGCATTTTAACCCACACTCGTAAATTCCTGAAAATTCCACAACTGTTACGTCATTATTTCGCCCAGATTTTTATGTGAAATTGATAAATCATACGATGTTTTATTTTATTTATGTTGTATTATTTAACTACAACTCATATTTTAATAATTATAACAACAAAATCAAGTGATTAAGAGTATTAATTTAAATGAAAAGAGTGATTTTCAATTAATTCTACAAAATCTGGTTTTTAGAGTATAAATAAAAAATCATTTTATTTTACAGCAATATTTTAAATGCACTACCAATTACCTGGTTTTTTACGAGCTGTTGAAAATATATAGTATGTAAAAATCGAGGTCTTTGATACTTATCAAAAAAATGTAAAAATAGTATTGAAATTAGTGAATTTCGTTAATTTATTTTGAGTATTTTTTATTAATAAAGTACATATAAAATAATTTTATGAAAAATTAACATCAACAATGATTAAGTTTCTGAAACGAGTTTAATTATTCTAAACTTACAGTTTGTTTATTTCGACGAGTACTGATTCATTTTAACATAACAAATATCTAAATGTAAGAAACATGGAATTGTGAGAATCTAGTTTGCATGAATTTATTACAGTTATTGGAATAATCAAAGAATTTCATGCTCTGGTTCTTTTTTTTCACAATATGGCATTGAGGTCCACCATTTGAGGTTGATTAAAAGTATTAGACTTTAGCATGAATATTTATATTTTGTAAAACATTATAAAATAATATCAATGTTGTCTGTGTTGCAATAAACGCCCAAATCATGATCTGCGCCTTCGCACTGCACCATGCACTGGCTCCAAAGTTTTTCTTTTCTGCGTTTTCTTAGCCTTAAAAAAAAATTAAATCACAATTTTTTTTACCCATCAACGTTGTTAAAAATTTATTTACAAATAAATTTTAATAATAACACAAATACATTATTAAAAATTCTAACTCCATGAGTTAATATATACTTGACATGCATCAGAGAGAAATAAAAAATAATTGTTTTGACATAATTTACTAAAAACCATTACAGAACATTTACTCACATCTAGTTTCTTATCCTGTGATTCTGGGATTTCAGCGTAATCAAGCTTTTGATGCTTCTGGAATATAATTTTTTTTTTTATAACATACCCGTTAAATCAAATTTAATACCTGCGTATAAATAGTCTAAACTGGGACAATTTTAATTAAGGTTACTATTGTCTAAATAAAGTATGCAAGTAAATTACATTACGTGAATACTAAAATTTAGGTATTCATCGGTTTTGTTTATTGTATCTTTGTGTGTATTTATTAGACTTTTTAACTTGAAATTTGATTGTATGAAGTGACAATTACTTTTTAGACAACTGAATTTCATTCGTAAAATGTCTTAATTATTGTCTTTCAAATCGAGATTTTTTTAAAGACACACTACCTAAACATTTTTAATTAAACTTAGCATGGTATCAGTGGCAAAGTATGATACTTGAAGCAGAAGCAACCGTAGTTTTAAGCATAAATTCAAGAGTTTTAATCCAAAGTTTGAGATTATATTTCAAACCTGAATTTAAGAAACAGAATAAAATTTGTGGATCTCAATTGATTAATCGTTTGCAAAAAAAAAAAAAAAAAAAGAAAAAAAAAATAGTCCCAACTTGGAAAATTTTCACGCAAGTGACATTACAAAAAATGATTAAACCGCTCACGTTGCTATGTTGTGATTTCGATGGCGGCTCGCACTGCGCCTTTAGAGATCCAAGCTGCTTCTCTTGCGTGTGTGAAATTCTCAGTGCCAGGTTCAGCTTGCCTATGTCCATTAGATTTTGTCGCTTCGTTATCTTCGCTTCTCTATCATCTGGTACTCTGACCAACTCCGTAGGCTGGTCAAAACAGGCATTATTTAGCTCGGTCATTGCGTTCTGCAACGTGAGGGAAGAGGTTTCTGGTTTGGCGAGGGTTTTCAACGTCACTGGCGTTTTTTTCTTATCCAATACTCGTACAAGTCGATCGACAAAAGCTTGCTGGTCGAGGGGAATGACACCGAGGAACTTGTTAATTCTGGCGCTGTACAAGAGCAACAAAGCCTTGATGTTGTGAAATGCGGTGGGAGCAAAGCGAATGACGCCCGCGTAATTTTTGGACATTTCTCTTATCAGTGAGGCCTGAGCATCGCATGCGATCGGATGGAAGACGACGACCTTGGAACTTTTAAAAACATCCGTTCCCATGATACCGATAGAATCTTTGAGCTCTAAGCGCATTGAGAGCTTTGAGGGCCACATTTTTGCTTTCCTATCGAATGAACAATCATCAGTTTTATTTTCCATGCCACCTTAGCATAAAACCTTCTTCATTTCAAAGCACCATAAAAACGAGAAACTTACATTCTTAGTGCACTATCTTTGCGTGCAGCTGATATCTGACAGGACACTTGCCAGATTTGTTTCTGGACATCGGTAGCTTTTGCTACATCTTCCCACTCGAGCTTA